TTTGGTCTTTTTGAGACAGGATCTCACTGTGCAGTTCAGGCTACCTTTGAGTTCACTTTGTAGCCCAGGTTGATCTTGAACTTGCAACAATCCTCCTGCCTCAGCCTCCCGAGTGCTGGGATTACAGGTATGCACCACCACCCCTGGCTTAGGTTCATTAATTAAAAAGGAAGTAGAAATGAGGAAGAAAAACTTGTACTCTCAGTTACTATAGAAGCCACAGGTGTTAGCGTAAATAGACACAACCTGGACCATCAAGTCAGGCAAAGTTGAAACAATAAGCAAAGTTTATTCGAGCCTGGGTGCAGGTGGGCCAAGTGTGATAAGACTATCGGCCCCAAGGGACAGGAATGGGGAAGGTTTTACAAGGGTATTTAGATAGGGGAGGGGCATGGCAGGCATGAGTGGGAAATTTTTAGTCTAGGTCAAGAAGTTGAGAGTCTTGGAGACATCTGTATTTTATAGGTGCAGCTGTGGAGGGCAATTGCTTGTTCATTTCCTTTTGCAAGCTCTGGCTCCCTCTTATCCCTGTGTCTCTGCAGCTGTGCTCAGCAGCTCTGCTCAGGGAACTTTTTCTCCTCTGTCCTGGTGGCAGTCTGACAATAGGAGTAAAATGAGTAAAGAGTAGGCAAGCTGAAGGACAGACTCATCTACACACAGGATCTGAACATGCACTAAAGGAAAGAACTCACACCAATAAGGAAGTCATGGTGTATTCAATGGCTGTGGGAAAACTGGCTCGCTGTGTAGAGAAGTAGCACTGCACTCTCGCTTGACTCCTAGAAAAATGGGAAATTGTAGGATTAAAAACCTGTGTTGAACACCTATTACTTCAGTTTGGGTCTGGAATGTTCCCCAAAAGCTCGTGTGTGAAAGACTTAGTCCTCAGCTTGGTGCCACTGGGAGGTAGAGGGAGTTTAAGCGACGGGGCCTAGTTGAAGGCTACTGGCCATACCAGGGTAGGCCCTTGAAGGTGACACTGGGATCTGTGTCCTCCTCTTTCTCTTTTTGGTTCCCAGCTGCCATGAAGTGAGCAGCCTGCTCCACCACTCTCCACTCCCTGCCAAGATGTGTAACAGCATCAAGTGACCATGGACTGGAAGCTCTGAAACCATGGGCCAAAATAAGCCCTTGCTCTTTTAAAATTGATCATCTCAGGTATTTTGTTTACAGTAACAGAAAGAGAATGTAAAATAAAATAAAGTGAGTCCTTGTGAGCTACGTGTGTGAAAAGTCTTTTCCAGCAAAACTTCAAAAATATAAGCTATAGGTGAAAATTCAGTGAATTAGATTTTCTCAAAATTAATTACTTCTTTTCAGTAAGGGGAATCATGGATGAAGACAATAGCAGATGGCAGAATGGAAAAAGGAATTCACATGTTTAAAACCAGTGAGAGATTAATATACACATAGAAATGTCTAAAAAAGGAAAAGGATAGCAACCCCTTTTGAAATGGCAGCTTTTAGAAGAGGAAGACATGACAGCCCACTAGGCAGATATTCAAACTTAGTATTCAGAGGGGTGCAAACAAAAGACCCATGGCAAAATATTTACTACCACTGATTGGCAAATACTAAAAGCTCGCTTGCACAGGCTGTAGGAACAGAGTCTCCTGGCTGTACTGCTAGCAAGGTGATGGTGCTGCCTTCTAGACAGCCCCCTGCCCCATTAATAGACAGACTATTTATGGCCTAGCAGGTCTCATCCTGGGAACATGGGCAGATGGCCACACAGAATCATAAGGAGATTTTTGAAGCTATTTATTCACAGTTGTTTGTGATGCTGTGGACTCAGAGGCAGCCAAGATGTCTCCTCCAAGATGGTAACTGGCTAAAACAGTCTTTGCAGCAAGGAGAAACAAACTGCATGCACACATAGGAAAGATGTTCAAACACTGATATGTAAAAAAAGCAAGAAACAGTGTGAGACTGTGAATATCATTTAACTAAAACACTAAAACGTGTGAGAAAAGGGAAATTCACACTTACAAGAATAAATAGAAAATAAAGATAGACATTATACAGTTTGCCTGACAAGGATGGGGGGACCAGTTGTATGGAGAAAAAAGTATACATATTGTAGGGGACAGTGACTCTTAGCATATCATTTTAAGATAAAATAATTCTTCTCTTAATGCAAGCGTCAAATTGTGTCCTGAGAAACATCCCGGAGGAGTTGTAAAGAGTTAACTTTGCAGTCCTGACTTAGCCCTGGAATGCTTCTCCAAAGACAAAGAACACCAGGGCCTAGATAACTACCTATGACTTTGCCTGGGTTGTTTCATCCTTTCCCTGGCCCTAGATAAACATTGTAACCATAAAGGAAATTTATGGTTATCTAAAGGGGGACATATAAAACAGAGTAGAGAAAGTATATATCATTGTGGTTGGGCTTATGACTGGAGCCTGACCCAGTTATGTGGTACAAGGAAAACAACGTGTGGCTGGGGCTACAACATTCTGATCTGTTACCATGGAAACCAAAAATGTATATAAGTTGGGAACAAAGGCAGGTCCATGCCCACTTCCCTGACTTGCAAGTCAGGATGAGAGGTAGCTGGTTTAAATGAAAACTTTGTCTGTTCTCTTTGGTCTCTTGCAGAATACAGCCCGAATTTTTGCCGTAACAATGTATGGTAACATGCTACTCCAGACCCAAAAATCAGTCCTTGAGGGAGGGCACCAGGAGTCTTGGTGATTGTGAAATACAACCAGGATAGGCATCAAGGGTTTACAGTATGTTTAAGCCTCAGAATAATATAAAGGTATGAATATTACCCTCCAAGCAGCATAAATTAATACACATCCTGAGAGGCTGTGGGATAAAACCAGAATGAAGTGGGGTAGGTTACTCAGAAGAAATGATCAAGATGCTGAGATGTACAGTCCCTGACTGGTTTAATGTATGCAGTTTTTACTCAATTATGGTGCAAAAGTCAGTACATTCAGTATAAACACTCCATACTTAGAATGTTTAATTTTGATCTTTGCCCAGGTTACAATGATACGTGGTACAATATTCTTCTGAGATTCTGGGTGCCCCTGGAGCCATACAGTCAGGAAGACAGACAACTGACAGTCCGCAGAGTGATGGTGAACCTATGGCACAGCAGCCACGCAGGGCCCACTCTGCAAGGGCATCATGAGTTGTAGGGTTTTTGTAAACTAAAACCTTACTATTCAGGTTTAACTGCAGTGTGGGCACTTTGTGATAAATAAATGGTTTTTTTTTGTTTTTTCTTTTGGAAACAGGGTTTCACTAAGCAGTTTAGGCTGTCCTTGAACTCACTTTGTAGCCCAGGCTGGCCTCGAACTTGCAGCAATCCTCCTGCCTCAGCCTCCCAAGTGCTGGGATTGCAAGTGTGTGCCACCATGTCCAGCTTAGAATATGCAGTGTTTTGGTTTTTTCTTGTTTGTTTGTTCGTTTTGTTTTTGCAGTACCAGGAATCCAACTCACAACCTCACGCTTGGGAGGCAGGCACTGTGCCGCTGAGCTAAATCCCCAGCCCCCGACCATGCGCAGCTTAATAAATGTGTTTTGGGCCACAGTTAGAGGCTTGGTTTCTAAAAGTTTCACCCTCACTAGTCCACAGTGTGCTATGTTGTTAGGCCAGGTGAGGTGTATTAGAAGCATGTTTGACTTGTGACATTTTCAGTTTACAATGGGTTTATCAGATGTCATCCCATAGTAGTTCTGCGAACAGAATGAGCAACAATGGGAGTAGAATGGGCTTCACTCACCTGCTTGGCCTTCAGCCCTTCTCCAGTCTGAAGCACAAAGGGAAAATGGAATTAGAACATCAGGGCATCACACGTCTCTACTCACACATCACACTTTGCACCATCCTTGCCCTTTCCCCTTTTCCTGCCACCTAAGCAGCCATTAGGTTCCAGGCTGGGCATCACACCTGGCTTGGAAGATTAGAAGATACATGGATAACCAGGGGCGAAAAGGTGGGCAAAGGGAAAGTTCTAACAGGGGTCACTTACCTAACTCCATCTGAAGCTTCTCTGTAAGCAGAACACAGAAACAATATTAACCCTTGAGGAGAGGACCCACTCTCCCAAAGCAGTCAGGTCCCTGGAAAGAGGACCGGTCTGAAGCCCTGCTGTCCCCAACCCCACCTGGGCCCTGCCCTGTTCTATTAAAGGAGACCCATCTGCAGGCTTCTGCTGCCTCAGCTTCCCAGCTTTAACGCAAAAATCTGCACAGGGGTGGGAAAGACAAACAGATTTGGGTTTAGGTCTGGTTTGAAGAGGCTCCTGTTCTTTCCTCCTGAAAGTTCAAGCTTGTCCTGGGAGGTTCTAAGAGGACTCAGAAGGACACTGAGCACTGGCTGCCTAAGTCTCAGGCTCACTTACTGGATAAAGCACTTAAAGGGCTGGAGAAACATCACACTCATTACTTGCAAAATGACTCTGGCATCTTGCCAGTAGAATGCACTCCTTTGCTCTGTCCACTTTTTGTCTTCTTTTAAAAGTAAATGCTCCTTGGAAAGGCAACACTATCCACCAAATCAAACTATGGTTTTGTGACTTATTACAGTGGCTTTGCTATGGTACCCGTCCCCCGCCCCCCGCCCTGCAGCACTCGGTAGATTGTAGGACTAGTTGGAGTGTTAGTTCTAAGTCTTCCATTCCCACTCAAGGGTTCACACCCACCCTTTCACACCCTGTCCCCACCAGGGCTTCAAGTCCATGTGCTCCCTAGGCAACAAGTGAATTTGACACAACATCCCCACTTCGGTAGCAATTAAAAGGGTCCTGCTTTCCAGCGGTGTCCGCGTTAAAAAGATTTCCCGTAGGAAGATAACGGAAAGCAGTCTTTCCAAATTTAAGCGAATCACGTGACGTGCAGGGCGGGGCTGGTGGGGTGTGCAGCCCCTGGCACTCGGCCTGGGTGTGGGTGCGGTGCCCACAGAGGAAGTCGGCGGACTGGCCAGACCTCAGTCTCCAAAGAAGCTTACGCCGCTGGGCTCGGGCCCCGGCCGGCGAAATAAAACCCAGCACCAGCACCAGCCCATTAGCACCCAGCACCTACAGGGGCAGGGTCGGCGCCCAGAACTCACCCAGCTGCGAGGTCAGTTTCCCTGGAGAGAAAACGAAGAACATTTTTCAGGTTGGGGATAAGTCAGAGAGGACAGAACCCAGTACAGACGCCTCGCTCCTCAAGGAAGCGATACTGGGGCCCTCCGTGGCGAGCGGCCCACACCGCTCCCGGAGGCTCGCCTAGCTCCTGCTTGGCCCGCTTCTGCTTCTGCAGCTTTTCTAAAAGCGAACAGAACGGGAGACGCTGGGCACGCAGCCCCTCACCTCGGTGCCCGCCCCTCCGAGCCCGCCACCTCCGTCCCGCACCTCGGCTCCCCCCCACCTCCAGGGCCTCCGTCCCCGCACCTCGGCGCCGCAGCTGCTTTTGAGCGCAGGCCCGGGCCAGCGCCACCAGGAAGACCAGCAGCAGCGAGACGATCGCCAGGGTCCCCAGGAACGCGCTCCTCCAGGGGAAAGCTCCGGGCAAGAATGCATCTGGAAAACACCAGGAAACCTGGAACAAGCTCCGGAGCCTTCGGGGTGGGGGGACCCCGCGTCCCCGGCGGCGCTGCCGGACGTGGAGGAGAGGGCCTTTCCAGGAGGCGAGGAGCTCGTGGCCCTGCTTGCCTGCCTTGCGGCCCCTCGGTTGGGGCGACCTCGCTGACCCCTGCCCCGGCCTTCGCTCGGCACACCTGGAAGAGCTGCTACCGCTGCGGCCTGGGGCTGAGACAGCGCAAAAGTGACTTTGAAAGCTCTTGGGAAATTCAGTAATTGCCTGTGGAATCTTTTTTTTTTTTTTTTAATGGTGCTTATGCTGAGGGCCAGGTCGCAGGCCTGTACTGGAGCACTCCGAGGGTGAGGCTGAACTGACCCCCGCAGAGTTCATGGACAGTCTGGGCCAGAGACTGAAACCTGGTGTCACAAACAAAAATGGGGCTTCTACCTCCGACGTATTCTACAAATACATTCTGTTACTTTTTAAATGCTCTAAACAAAAAACAAAACCAGAAAACAAAAAGAAAAAGCCTATCATTTTAGCCTTTATTTCCATGGTGGGGATCAAATACAAATTCTCACCCAAATGAAGCTCGGACCCTATACCACTGAGCTATATCCACAGACCTACTTTCTTTTGCTCCTCCTGTTTGTCCCCTCCTCCCACCTCTATCTTCTTCCTCCTCTTCTTCCCTTCCCCTCTTCCTGCCTCCCCCTCCCTCCTCCTGCTCCTTCATTGTGAGACAAGGTGTGGAAAGTTGCCCATGGAGGGCTGGAACTTGAGATTTTCCTGCCTCCTCAGCCTTCCAGAGTGCCTGTTACATTTTTTAGTGTATACTTCAGTGGCATCAAGTACATTCATACTGTTGTGAAGCTGCTACTGCGCCCACTGCCAGGGTTGTTTCATCTTCCCAAATTGAATCTCTGAACCCATTAAATACTGACCGCGGCTGGCCCCAGACCTAAATGACCACCATTTTACTTACTGTCGCTATAAATTTGACTGCCCTGGGTACTTCTCACAAATGAAATTATTACAGACAGCTAAGTGACTCAGAAATCTCACTGTCAGAGGAATGAGCCCTTGAGGGAGTCCATGCAGAAGATAAGATGCACCAAGACTGGATAGAGGTAAGTCTGAGAAGAGTCAGCCCAAGGCATAGATGAAGTAGCCAGGTCCCGAGCTTCCCTAGAGATGAATAGCGGCTGGAAGTTCTGCACCACCCAGTGTTCCCGAGGAGCCCAGATAAGCATCAGTTGTATCAGACCAGAACATCTGGATCCATCTTCACCCTCTTCCAGGGATGCCTTTGTTCTTTCTGTGATTAAGAGTTGCAGATAAGTTAATGAAAAGTCAGGCTCACCATGTGCCCTTGCTGGGTGTCTTGCTTTCCTCCTGGATCAAAATTAGCTGAGCTGTTATACCTATAGGTTGATGGTAGTCTGACACAGGTTGTACCCACGTTGTGACCTTGCTGTATAAATCACCATGACAGCCTCAGTGGACACCCATTCAAGACCCCTCCTGGAAACCCAGGAGCTATTCTTGCCAATAAATTCACTGAAACTCCTTTTAAGACTTCATTCCTGGATGTTATGAGACCCCAAACTTGGCACATCTGACATCTGACAGTCTGGAGGTTGTTTTCCTCATTACAGAATCATTTAGAATGTATTCGTTTTTGTCTGGTTTAGTCTACCTAGCATATGCGGCCTCTTAGTTTTTTATTTTATTTTTGTAGAAGTGTGTTTTCATTATACAAAGGCATTGGGCCACAGTGGATTGGTCCCTCAACACTGTTGGTTTTGAAAGCACTGGAATGGAGGTTAAGAGGAAGGGCCTCCAGCCTGGTTTAATTAGCACCAAAGGAGGCTGAGGCAGGGGATTGGAAAATTCAAGCACAGTCTAGGCAACTTAGCAACTCAGCGAGACCTTGTCTCAAAAGCAAAAATAGAAATGGCTGGGCATGCAGCTCAGTGGTAGAACTCTCCTGGGTTCAATTCTCAGTAGAAAAAAAAAAGACTTCAGGCTTCAGGGTCTGCTACCTCCTTGACCCACCACTCTCAACTTTGTCCCCATGTTCCAGCCCCTCTGACCTTCATATCTGCGCTCTCTACCAGATGTCCATGTGACTCACACCATCTGTAAAGGGCTGTATACATACAAATTTAACACTATACCTGCAAATTAATAATGAATGTAAACAACATACATTTAGATACAAGTCTAAAAAAGAAAGAGCAAAAGAAAAAACCCAGATTTCCTGATATAAAGAGTCTTCCCTTCCCTTTCTTTCTTT